CTCATTTAGAAAAAGTAAATCTCATTTTAACCACCAGAGGGACTCTCCGGGGAGAAACCCTCCATCCAAACACACATCTCCCTGAGAAATTGAGGGAGACGGAAAGTGTACAGGATAGCCAGAAAGGTCATAGGCCGCAGTGGCCGTCTAAGGTCAGCTAGGACAGAAAATCACATTGTGACTGTCAGACAAACCTTGCAGCTGTCTCCAAGAAAATCCAACAGACGTTTGTCCCAGTAGAAAGATCTTTTAAGGAGCTCAGTTATGCAAATAATGCACAAGGATCTTTGGTTTCCATATGAGAATCAGGTATATCCAGAACTTGGGCAATATCAAAACAATCAAAAAATGAATTCCATCAAGACCATGAAACTGTGTCAAAACATCCCAAAAAGACCATGAATATATGTATCAAAAAATCAAAAAAATGAATTCCATAAATATAATAAACTTGTGTGTCAAAAAAATTAATTTAACCCTAACCAACCCTTACCCTGGCCCTATTCATGTATTAAACCAGATGAGTTTTGAATGATTACCTAACCCTGACCTACCCGCTGAGGACACAGGACGCGTATCAGACCCTTATGATAAAGGATCCACTTGGCAGGATAGCGGCGATCGCGTACCAGACCCTAATGATACAAGGTCCACCTGGCAGGAGCGGCGATCGCGTATCAGACCCTAATGATACAGGGTCCACAGAACCTGATCTTTTTCAGTGATGAGGCAAATATCCATCTTAAACGGACGTAAAGCAGACCCGATGATGCCATGAGCTTGCAATTGCTCGGGCGATATCATGGATTTTACTCGGTAGCCTGTGATCGTTTTACAGCCTTTCCTTACCGTACTATCACACCAAACTAGTTCTCACTACGTTCTCGAAAACGGGTTTCAACTGTGTACGAACGGACTGGACCTACTAAGAATCGTTTGGGATCTATTTACAAACTTCCTCGAACGTACTCGAACGGGTAGTTCCTCTAGAACTTAGACAATGCTCAAAATGTTGTCGTGGTCGTCACGTTCTTCAATTATAACGAGTGGCAACGTACTAACGACGAGCTGGACGTACTACGAACGTAACCGTCGTACTTCAATCCTACTAGGGACGTTTTAACAACGAGTTGAACTGTCTGAGGACGTGCTGAGAACGAGGTAGAACTAATTGCAAACGGGTTTAAACTGATTAAGAACGTATTTAACACTGCTTATTAACGACTTAGCAAAAATATAGCTATCACACCAACAAGTTGCCACTGCGTTCTTCAAAACTGGTTTTAAACTGTGTGCGAACGGAATGAACGTAGCTGCAACTTTCTAAGGTCTATTTACGAACTTTATGAACGTTCTCAGACGGGAATGTGATTTTAGAATTCTGAATCGATTCAAAATTCGATGGCGACCATACCGTTCTGTAATCAGGTCATGTTGACCTTCTAGACTAAGGGACGCGTTCTACGACGTTGCACACCGACGTGGTACGACCTGAACGAACTGCGAACGAGATGGACGTATTGAAGACTGTTTAAGAACGAAGAAGCTAATTATTTCAGACATATTTCCCGACCACAGCCAGACTGACCCCGTTTTATGACGTTTTCGTTGGACTGGCAAGAACGGGTAAGAACTAGTTTGGTGTGATAGGGGGGGGGGGGTTACCTAGAACCGGGATTCCCAGTACATTGAGGATTGGAACACACAATTCTTATAAAATGACAGTCATTCATCTAGATTTTTTTGTAATGCGGGGTTAACCACGGAAATACTTGGATTTTTTCTCTCAGGAAATACACGAATCCAGTCAGATTTCTTTTTATTTACCATTTAATTGACAAAATATGCAATTTCAAATATCTGCGAGATTTCAAAGCTACTAATAACTCCTAAATTGGGAAGTTGTGTATCTGACTATCAATATAATACCACGCACATATTTTCGATTGGCCCTGATAAGGAAGCGAGGAGTAGACATAAATACCGAGATCTATCCGCAAGATGGATCAACGCCGCACTGCTCCAACGCTTCACTTGAATACCTCACTACTTCCCTTGAGACAGGCTCATCTCTTGTCGCACGGGCTACTATACCTTGGCCTGCACATTCTCCAGACATATCCCATTTGGATTATTTTTTTGTGGGGATACCTTAAAGCCAGAGTCTAGGTTAACAATCCCCAAAACTATTGATGCACTCGAGAATAGCATTAGAACAGAGATCAGGAGGATTCCCTCGGGCATTGAACATATTATAAACTATTGAGCGCTGTGTTGTAGGACAGGAAAATGAAAAAAATTGGAAAAAACTGCCGATAAAAAGTTCTATGTAATCAAAAATGTGAATGCTTTTTTGGACCACCCTGTACCAATGGAGGAAATCTAGGCGCTTGTATAGATTGGATAAAACTTCGGCCTGAATGACATATGACATGTGAGAACTAAAATCTAATCAGAAGTCTCACTCTTAAAGTGTTACAGGGTGAGCCGAAAATGTAACCCTGACAAATGTCTGCACAGTGAGTACGCTATTGGTGCACACTCCCGTTTCACAGGAAACAATGAAATGTGACGTTATGAAAAATATTCTCGCAATTTGACAGACATTCGACGACGTCATTATTCCTTCGAAATTCACTGAAGCATGAACATAAAATTATGAAAATGACACATTACATTTTTATTACCTACATTCTATCTAAGGAATGAATCGATGAAAAGGTATTTCAAAACAAACCAAGCAGCTTCAATCAAAACATCGATTTAAAATTGAATAAACATGGAAACCAAGACAAATACTCTGAACTATAAAATTGAAAACTTTGTACTAATCTTCCATTTTGATGAATTTATACGCAAATCCTACAAGATATAATCACTAATAATATCAATAGATAATCATTACATCAAAATGACATGTGCATCTTTATTTCAAATGAGAATTCATCATGATTGAAAGTTATGATCTGTAGAGAATTTGTTCTGTTAACTTTTGATGCGGGACTCATCAATCGCGCGCTTTTTACGTTTTCTTGCGTATTATAACCTATAGCGCGGAAATGTCTCTATTCTTTAAGACTCAAAGAATACGGTATATGTTCATGAAGAAGTATGGTTTACCCTATCATTTAGTACCACTGTAATGTATGGAACATACGCAGGCAAATAAAAAAGCTATCAAATTATTTCAATAAAATCTGGCCTCGCTAATTCCGATGAAAGGGGACACAAAGTCCCCATTTTGTGTGTAAAATGACGTCAAAACGGTCTATGCACATTTAGTTCAGACTCTGGTATCATTCATTTTAAAAGGTGAAAAACTAAAATAGAGTCTCTAATTTTTTAATACATTATGATCACCTGATGCGCAGCTGAGAAAAATATTTTTTAGGACTCAAAATATTAAAATACTCACACTCGCATAGATTGCAAATGTCCAATTGATTTTAACGGGGATTTTAATCACGGAGGCTTCACTTGGACATTTTTCAATATTTTATAGAATTTACGAGGTTTATATGGCCACCAGGTCATCAAATATACTTTTTTGTAGAACAAACATCTTCTTTATTGTTGCCCATAAGAATTTGAGATGATTCATTGTAATTTAAAAGACTTAGATGGCTTAGAACATATCTACCGTGGTAAAAAATAACGTAATTTTGACGAGGCTTCACTCCTAATATTCCTACAAAATCCATCGTGGCTGATACGTTTACATCTGAATCACTGGTAAGTATAGTTTCAGTATGTTCGTGAAACTTTTCCGGATCTAACAATATAACAACTGTATGACAAACTGCTATATAACTCACAAAATCTACATTTAAGTACCATACGCAGGCTGAATAAGTCAGAGTTGAACACAAGTCACTCACAATTACGATTGCGACAATAGCTATTGTGACGTCATACGCTGTTCGTTATTTGTAAATATTTATTCATAGAATTGATGATCCATGAAATAGGGTATTATCCTGAAAATATCATAAACATTAATGCAACAGTTAAAAAGATATATACTTTTACATACTACATGGCCATTTTGTTTCGTTCCTCGTTGAAACGTTGAACACGCCTTTTATGGTGTTTTTATTCAATTTTATTCTATTTCGAAGGGCTGTGAATTGAATAACCATAGAGGATATTTCATAAAATTCAGTTCGAATAATTGCCTTATATAATAGCAAGAAGGTTATTTAAGATCTCGGTCTTCGTTTAACATGTATTTCGAAATAATTTATAATATTCAAATGTGTACCAATAGCGTACTTATAGTAATGTTAATAATAATAACTCAGTCTTTCAGGCACGGTGTTAAAATTTATATTAGGAACAGTTAGACCTTGTTTAATGTTCTTTCATTCTTCCGACAAAATTTCATTGTTCTTTCTTCAATGGTCATGATTTCGTGGCCATTTATAAAACATGCTCCAAATACCGAAACGTGTCACACTTTGATTGGACATAAATCCCACCAGATTTTATCTGTGGGGCTAATGTCTACAATAACAGTCCTTGGAACAATGAAACAAGAGATAAGAAGGAAGATGAGAGTCATAAAACAAGATATCTGTACTCATGTAGTGAACAGCTACATGTACATTCGATACATTCAAGTCAAGACCTGAAGCCGGTGGAAAAGAAATTATGGTCCCCTGGGGATTATGGTCCCCTTTCCTTATGGCCCTTACTGTCCCTGACTGTGAATAAATAATAAGGAAAATAATTGTAATTAGGTCGAGAGTAGGACCAAAATTTTACACCTACCCTTTTCGTTATTTTAAAACTTTGTAAAATGGCAATTAAATCGTCACCATTAAAACTAGACCAAAATAAACTTGGTAGAATGAAAGACCATTGAATAAGGTTTAATTGTGCCAAATATGAAACTAAACCCACGCTGAATGAATGATAAATATTAACATTGGTTTGAGTTGCCTTTTTTAGCTCAGCCTGTACCTGTTTGTCGTTAGGTTCAATATGCGCATGCGTAATTGATACATCCGGCCAGTTTGAAAACTTTTCGTTTCCGAAGAAATAGTGAGGTTCTGGCGAAAATAACGCTCTGTAAGTAGATACAATGATCACAATAAGCATCTTATAATGTTTTTCCACAGTTTTTTGTCAGTAAATATGCGCTAAATTGTCAGGTTCTGATTTCAACACTTATTCATAATCTAGAAATTCTAAAATTTTTAGAATAGATCTAGTAAAAATAGAATCATGCATTTGGACTTTCTCCCTCTTCTCATTAGGAAAACCAATCTCGTACAATACATTCCAATAAAAAGAAGTAATAAATTGATTTATTTTATATGATCTGAATTGGTCTGTGATTCAGCAAATGACTATTGGGCCCAGGTGGGTTGTAAAGTTATCCACAGCAGCCCATGTCCACATTGAGCACTATCAAATCAATCTTCATTATTCAGTTAGATGATGCTGACTTACTCGAGTCTCTAGGCAATTCTTGGCTTGAGGTAATTTCATCTGGAATACTGTGAACTCCATTTGAAAAGCTGGCCGGCTTGTCATTTTATTGAATATTTTAAAATTGCCTTATAAATAAATCATTAATAAAATGGAACCGGCTGGGCTCCTTGATGAGATATTGCATGAATTCGTCAGGATTTTGTCTAAAATTAAAACAAATGGCTCCAAGAAAAAGGGCGATATTCGAAAACTAGACGAAATGTCGTTAATGTCTGACATTAGTAAATGGCTGTAAATTCTAAGTTAGCGATCCAGAAGATGTAAACTAATACATTGATCACTTCATGTGTGTTTTGGGATTTTTGTTGAGGTACGTAATAAAACCAAAACTTGCTATTCAAATTGTGATGTGGAAAAATGGCGGACATTTGATTTCAAATTTTATGATTACGACATGACCCTTTATACATGCAGGAATTTATCTTTGGATGAAGGCCACGATACAGTGGCCTTAGAAGAAGGTAAGTGCTGACTGTGAAGATATCCCATGGGCTTTCAAGAGAAAGTGAAAGCCCATTGGTTATCCATACAGCAATCGAAAAGAATGTTTATATGTTAGCACCTGAGACTAACATAAAATGATGGTCTCAGGTTAGCGCTACATGTATAAAGGACTCTCAATTTGTCATTATTAGATTTGAGATCTGAAATAAAATCCATCGACCCTCAAATTGAATCGATCGACTCTCGACTCCAGGCAAATCAAGAGTCCTTTATAGGGCTATATTATGTAGACTATCAATTTATGGCACAGTCAGCACCATCTACATGTTTTCTCTATAACTACACTGGAAGTTTTTCCATCTAATGATAGTATGAACAGAATCACTGCGCTAAACTGGTTGTGGTGTTGTATCAATGTGCCATAATTGGACGTGGATGCAACAGCAATTTTCAGATGACATCTCATTAACCACACAAAAATCATCAAAACCAATTGTGTATTCTTCCCAAATTAAGCCATAGGCTTGCTAAAAAACAAATTTAGATTAAACCAGGTTTCAGTTAGTTGTTTCAATATTTTCAGAATGAGGCAACGAACCACAGAAACGACTGAAGCTGATCGTCAAGCTGAAGTTAAAGAAATAGCATTAGACTCGAAGATGTCTTCATATAGCAGCAACAATAATCAGTCTGCCCTCTATAGGGCAATTTTCAAGCAGCCTAAAGAATTAACCCTTATGGAAAAGATCGAGAACTATTATGCAACAGGAAAATCCAGTACTGGTCGTATGGCTAATAGATTAGCCATGACGATCTTTTGGTTTTGTGCTATATCGACCTTCTATGTTGTCATGGCCTACATAATACCATTTTGCTATGGCTTCTACGCTGACTGGATATGTTATGCTTTGAAAGTGCTAACTGTGTTCATTTTCATCCAGTGTCTTGGAAACTGGGCCTGTTGTCATTTCACTGGGACATTTTATGAAGAAACACTTGATAGACCTCATGTGGATAAACTCTTATGGGATGACACCAAGGTGTTTCTAGATGGGGTTGAAAGGAAAAGAGAAACCTGGCCATACTGTAATACATGTAATCATCGTATGCCTCCAAGGGTGCACCATTGTAAAATATGCGACAAGTGTATTCGTAAACGTGATCATCATTGCTACGTGACAGGAGTATGTATAGGATACTTCAACCAGAGATACTTCGTATTTCTTAATTTTTACTCAGCTGTTGCTACCCTCATTGCATTCCCTCACGAGGTGTACTACATTTACCATACATTTTATCCTGCTTCAGCATTAACTGATTTTATACTACCAGTAGCAGTATTTAAGTGGATCACGGGGGAAATGCTTGGCCATCACTGTGTATTAGTCATACACCTGTACATCCTTTGGTGGGCTGCATTAGTAGCTACAGGGTTTTTTATATGGCATATGTATATCATATCGATTGGAAAAACCTCAAATGAAGTCACTTCTGGTAAAAGACTAAAAGTGACATCTGGCACAAAGCAAAACTTTAGATCTGTTTTTGGCGATTTTTGGCCTTTTAATTTTATCCTTCCTGCTCAGCTTGTGTTCAGACAAACAGGAGATGGAACAGAATGGCCCAAGGTGAAATTCTTTGATGATAAATTCACTGCTGGATCTCATTAGTCATGATCTTACTCGGGACTATTTAAAAAGTATATATCACTAACATTTTGATAAAGAGCAATATACAGGGCGTATCAAAAAAAACGCAACAAGTAGTTATCTCGTAAAATCACAAAACTAGTGATGACTGCATCAATTTCATTTGATGTACCATAAAGCCATGTCTCTCCTCTTTGCAATGATATGCCATTCATTCACATGTGGTAATGGTTGGGTGAGAAATCTTTCCATTTGTACAGTGGGTCAAAATCGGCTCTGCGCCAAGTTTTAGATATTAAAAAAATCAGTACAAGGGCTAAGTGCCAATGGAAGTTCCCCTGACTTGAATTGTTGTGACTTTTTCTTTTGGAGCTCTCTCAGGAGCATCTGTGCTCACAGTTCCTCCACCAGATATTGCAAAACCTCGAGAAATATTTGCCCATAGGCTGCTTTTCTTTGCTTTAACCCGCACATGATTCAGGGCTGAACCAAGCATGACGTGGACAGATGAGCGCATCTTTATGTGCAAGAAAGTGGTGGCAATTTGGAGGGGTATAGGATGTATTCTTGCAAGAGTATGAGTATGAACACTTAACTGTCTATGCCACATCTGTCACACCTTCTTCCAATAGCCCCTATGCCCCTTGTTCTGACTTTTGCAATGTTTTAAACTTGGGCCCGAGCTGAATTTTGCCCCACTTTGCAAAATTAATGATTATTCAGCCATAGATGACTACCTGTGAATGAATGATATTCCATTGCAAAGAGGAGTAATTTGGCTTTTGGTACATTGAATTAAAATGATGCAGTCAGCATTGGTTTTATGTTTTCGTCCAATATTGCATCGGGCTCCGTACACTGACTTTTGCGATGTTTATAACTTGGCCCGAAGCTAATCTTGGCCCACTTTGCAAATGGAATGATTACTCGCCCAACCATGACCAAATATCAATGAATGATATATCATTGTAAAGAGGAGACACGTGGCTTTATGGCGCATTGAATGAAATCAATGCTGTTATCACTAGTTTTGTGCTTTTCCAAAATAACAATATGTTGCGTTTTTTTTGATACGCACTGTAGAATATATCACTAACATTTTGATAAAGAGCAATATGGAATATTTTGCAGTCTCTGTTAGCATGAAGACTGTATCATTCTCTGACCCCAGAGCTCTAGGATCAAGAATATCTACAAGTTTGTAGCTCTGTTTTCAGAGGATGGGATGTATTGGCTTATTCTCAATCAAGTGTGAGATATGGAACTTATGCAGTATTGACATGGTCACATGGATCATTTTGTGACATTTGGCCGACATTTGAACTATGAATGTCTTATGAATACTCCATGGAAGAATTCTCAGATGAATGTTTAAACTTACTCATGCTCTCATTAGACTCCTATATATGATGTAAAGTACAGGGTGTTCAAAAAAAAACGCAACCCAAAGAAATCGCTATATCTTGAAAAATACTGGTTCAATTATGTTCATATTTTCAGGAAATAAAGAAGAGACTCTGTATGTATAGCTCCTGTAAATGGTTAGTTGTAAAACATGATGCCTTGGACACCTGCTCAAAAGACAGTTGTTCTAGGAAAATACGAAAAACGCAGTAAGGGGTGACTGCAACCTTAAAAAATTAAATAACTTTCTAACCATAGTGTTTTGGCTCTTCAAAACTTCATTTACTGTATGGTAAATCTGTAGAGTGAAATCAAAATCACTTCAGGGACTTCACAGTTATGGTTGAAATGCTTTCAAATCGCAGTCAAACGCCCTGGTTCAGGGAGACTTAAGAAGGCATTTTGACCATGACTGTAAAGTCCCTGGAGTGATTTTGATTAAACTCCACAAATTCACCACACATTGAATGAGGATAAGTTATGCCAAATCTGAAGTGCCAAAACACCATGGTTAGAAAGTTATTTGGTTTTATTGCTGTGGCAGTCACCTGTGACTGCGTTTTCATGTTTTCCTAGAACAACTGTCATTTGAGCAGGTGTCCAAGGCATCATGTTTTACAACTTACTGACAACAGGAGCTATACATACACAGTCTCTTCTTTCTTTTCCTGAAAAAATGAACATTATTGAATTAGTATTTTCGAAGATATAGTGATTTTCCATTCGCGTTTTTCGTATTTTGCTAGTAAAACTGTCTTTTGAGCAAGTGTCCAAGACATCATGTTTTACAACTAACTAACAACAGGGGCTATACATACACAGTCTCCTCTTTCTTTCCTGAAAATATGAACGTAATTGGATGAGTATTTTCCAAGATATAGCGATTTCTTTGGGTTGCGTTTTTTTGAACACCCTGTACAATGATTTCAAAGGGTGTAGCCAAAATCTAAAATTAATGGAGTCATATTTAAGCTCATAGGATCAGTATCATACTCCTAGTGTACTTCATCATCAGTTTAAAAACATCTGAATAAATAATTTTCTATAAAGTTTTGGTTACGCTTTTGAATTCAATTTTGCTCATTTTTTCTGTCAAATTTGAAAATTGACATGAAGAATATTTGATCTGATATTTTTAGAGGCCATATAATTCATTTATCTGTTGTGAATCGTCTCAGTTCATTATATCACTGCTCAATATTAAATAAATATTAAAATCTTAGCTATGTTTGTCTTTCTGCTTAACATGTTGCATTTATTTCATTTGAGGATTATAGGATATCATTCCACAAACACACTCTGCAGCTTTGACAGAGCAACAGAAAGTCCACCTCAGAAATGAGAATATACATGTACAAATGCAAATCTTTCGCAAACTTCAAGTCTACTCAAAAAGTCTTATATATTGTAAAAATACATGGAGATCTGAATAGAATTCAAGTTAAACCACCAGTTTCAGTTTAACTTTTATGGTAATAATAGTGTTTTCTGAGTCAACAGAGGGATCTCATTTGATTACATAACACACTATTTTCAAGCTGACCTGGTTACTATATAGTATATAGACATATGGGAGTCAATGTATTTCTGGTTATTCTGGTTTTACATATAAAAGCCAGAGGCGTCAATGTTCTCTTGAAATGTTATCTACATATGTAAATAACAGATATTTTGCATCCAAAAAAAACTCATGACAAAAACTTTGATTTAGGTTATGAAATACTTCAGATTCAATAATAAATACACAAACAAAACTCGATGAAAATATTTTTACAAACCATACTTTATTTGTATCATTGTATTATGTTTAACGGTATATACTACATGGACTTGAAGCTAAAGACCCTTAACCCTATTTATAAACTATACAAGTAAGAGATAATGCTGTCATTTAATAGAAGTGTCTTCAGCATCCAGTATATGTACAATCTCAAAAAATCATATTGTACACCAAATCCTGCAGAGACTAGTTCGGCAAATATATGTGAAAATTAGCCATCTCAAATACATAGTTTCAGTTGTACAAGTTTTGATACATTGTGTATTCAAATAAGGCAAAGATAAGCCAACAAATAGCAAACAAATTATGATCTCGGAGATTCAAATTACATAACACACAAAAATATATAATTATTTATCAGCTGTCATTTTTCAAAAATATTTTCCTTGGTGAGAAAAGGAAAAGCAAAAGGAAGACTATATTTGCAAAAAAGTATCAATTCTTAATATCTGTATGTAATAAAAGAAACTATTACATACTCTTTTTGACTTACATCAACAAAAAATATCAATATGACTTCTTGTAAACATTGACAGTAAGGATAGAAAATATTTGAGCCAAGTTATACCATCACCAAAATCAACCTGGCCCTTTCTTTGATTTTTGAACTTAGCCTAAGATTTACATACAAATCAACCTGTATAATGTTTTTTTATCAGATCATCTAAAACTAATCAATACTTATGACTGAAAGTAGGGATGGGACGGGTCGAAATGGCACGATTCGGGTCCGGGTCGGGTCGGGCCAGAGAAATCCGATTCGAGTTCCGACTCGGGTCGGGTTATAGAGTCAATACGTCCAAATCCAAACAGGGGGGTAAACACGAACGGGTTCCAAATAATGGCAAGCAGATTATTGAATTGAATAATAGTACCTCTACTACCTCTACATAATATTTATAGCCTGAAAGATACAATATAATGATGTATACCAACAATCTTACAATAAAATAATCAATTATGATGATTTAGGTGTTCGGAATTACCCCCATGCTAGTGTTTGGAATTACCCCCACAAACTCTGTGCGTTTAAATAAATAGATGTCAGTAATAAATGATTTAAATTTGTGTTTCTTGATATGCAGGGGTGACAGGATCCAGTATCAGAGTTAAGGGTATCATATAATGATATACCATCAATCTAATAATTAAAACAATTAAGTTGAAGTTAAGTGTTTGGAATTACCCCCATGCAAGTGTTCGGATTTACCCCCCAAAAAACTCCTGTACGGAATTACCCCCCTAAAATACCTTGTAGTAAAAATGGAATAACCCAGATATTTTTTACAATTTTTCGTAATTTTTTCTGCAAATGCATTCTACAGTGGATAATACACATGATATATATAGAATCATAGCATAGATGTGCAGTACAGCCAAGTTAACTACATTTTTTGATGGGGGTGTTTGGAAATAGACGTACTGACTCTATAGGCAAAAATTAAAAATCTTCAAAAAAATAAAATTGGTTTTTATTTTAGCATTTTCATGCTTACCATGATTATAACCGTACTCCCGATGACACATCCGGCAAACGACATGGTCCTTTTTGATGGGATGGAACCCGAAATGCAGCCAAATTGGTGCCTTGAGAGAGGCTGGAGGATTTTTTAGAAGAAGCGATTTAGGCATGTTCTTTTTTGCTGAACAGGCATATATCTACGAACGACCGGCGCGTTTGCAACAACACACCCAACACTTACGATTATCAATAAATCAGTGATTTATCTCATAGTTTTCATACTAGAAACACTCTAAAGTATTTGAGTCGAAAAGAATTCGGATATAATCTGATAGAAAGCACAAATTTCAACAACTTTTATTTAAGATCTAAAAACAAATACCGAACACAAAAGCCTGTGGTCGTTCGTATATTAGACATTTAACGAACGTGTAGAACTTTCGTAACAGAACAAAAAAGTCGGAGTTTGTTCCCATTATTATCGTTTTACCTGTCATATATTTGTATTCGGGGGGATAATATACAATTGTTTACTCATAAAACATAGAAAATTTCTCACAGGGAATGACAACATACATTAATAATAAAGATAAAATAACGAACGTCATTTTATTTTCGTTCGTAAATTAATCACCAAAAAGAAAACAAAACAAGTCTAACGTAAGTTTATAATTTCTAATCATTCCAAGCATTACATACTAACAAGTAATGTTATTACATTAATAATACTCAGGACATTTGTAATATCTAATATAAACACATAGATGGGCTAGATCATGAAAGAAAGCCTTGAAATCTACAGTTTAGATACCAAAAATTGCCTGGAATTATAAACCGGAAGTTATCATCATTTTCAACCCGAACGAGTCGACTCCTCAACTAGAGGAGTCGATTCGGGTCAACCCGAAGGCCTCAACCCGCGGGGAATCGACTCATCGGGTCATCGTCCCACCCCTAACTGAAAGCATAGTGCCTTTTTGGGCATTACAGTGGCCTATTGTTCAATCTTACACCCAAATTACCAAGAAAATGGGCCTTAAATTTCCATAATTTCCCAAAATATTATTTTCAGACTTCACGTCACTTCCGACATTAGTTTTCAGATCCGCCCCGGAAAAGACAATGTAACTCTGTAGCAACTCGAGTATTATGAGGATACAAATATGCAGGAGTTAGGAATTGTGACGACACTGGTGTCCCTCCCTATGGCCCTGGCAGACCCAGTAGGTTGATAGTATTAAATGGCTAATATTTCATACAAACATACATCATATGTACAATACAAGCACACTTTACGCGGGAAATGAGTCATTTTATGACTATAAAGAGGAGATAACCTGCATTACTGCATGATTTATTTACAATATATGTGTACACATGTACAAGATATAATGCGTCATGCGCAAACAATGTACATACTGCATTATTCTGAATGTGTTACAAATAAGACACCATCTCATATTATATTGTTTCAAACTAAATTCTACATTTTCCAATTTTGTTTTGCAAGTGGGTGGATGGGTGTAGCATTTTCTAAAAGTCTCTTTAAAAAGGAGTGAATACAAAATGGAAATGTGTAGAATTTAGTTTTCTTTGAGACAATCTCTTCAAAAACTTATGATTAGCTCTCAAGTACCTGATTTCATAAAATACAAGTTAAGTAAAAATATATCTTTACAGATTTTTGTGTACTGTACTTATAAAGCTTGCCTTGAATTCATTCACACTCTCACTGAATATCAGGATATGAGATTTTGACTAAACTTTGATGAATTATATCTTGAATATTATACAATAAAATAATTCATTAACCTATCCCATTCTATCCTATTTCCTTTTTAAACAAAGGGTTGGGCTTGGTTTCATTGTTAACTGTTCAAAACTAAAATCATAAAATATCAATAGCTGCCCATGAGTTGGCAACAGAACACAAACCACTCTATAAACCTAGTCCTATATACAGCTCAGAAATAATAGTCTTTTCTATTCCAGACACTTTTATTCCATAACACCTCCCCCTTCCCCCATGAATTCATAACTGATAATTCATTTAATCATACTTATTACTCATCCACGTGGTCTTCATTGAATCTACATTTACACTTGAAAATAGAAATACGGATGCACAAGGTGTTGGGTCAATTATCAATTGTGTGCACGGAAGTAATTTTCATCTGTGGAGGGTAAAATGCATCATCGTATTAAATTACTTTCACAGAAAACAATTGATAACTTGACTCAGTCCCTCTGATGTTTGTTAAATACATACATGATTCTATAGTATAATTGAAGAATTCAATTTTAACTATTTTCAACATACCTTCCACGACAATCATTGATTTTCCAATAAACTAGTTATTCTTTATTAATTTTGGTACAGCAGTTATACGAGAATAAGCAACAATTATTCCAAAAGCTATATAGTCTTCAAGCTATAATCTCCAATGTATCAGTTTACATTTTCACAATTTCATATGTTTGAGGTAATAAGAATAACAATATTAATGCCTGAGAATCTAACACTGGCAAATATTTATTTTTCAACATCTGCAAATGAAAAAAAAATTGAATTGTTATAAAAATATTCAGAACTGTATCATTTCTCAAATCTCTACATAGACCTGTGAAAGCCTGGAATCTACAACATTTGTTTTAATAATTGTGCTGGTTGACACATTTATTTAAAGGAATAAATAAGTCAACCGCACCTAAATGCTGCCTAAATTCATCATAGTACTCTATTGAATGAAGTTGAACTTTAAGTCATGGCACATTTCATGTGAAAATAAACATGGATTTGAAAAAGTCCATATCTTGCGTTTATAATAATCTAAAATATCATACATACAAAATATTTTATGCATATTGCATATGTATCACAACGGGGTCATTTAAAAATAAAAAATACTCTTTAAATCTAACTTTGTTAATATGCATGGAAATAAACTCTTGAAAGGATACAGAAGGGTAGAATTGAGATTCTTCATCTAGCTCTATTATGAAATATTGTACACTCAACATTTAAAACCGTTTCATCAAATATACAGCAAGCTTTACAATACAAACATATACATGTCACGTTAAAACCATATACAGGATTATTCAATATATACTGGTCAAAAGTATATTTTTGTGCATGTAAATGTTTACATTTTAGTGTCATGCCTCTGAGACAATACAGTAAAACCTTCCATTGTGAACACCTTCCCCTAGTATTGACACTGCAGAATTGAATGAGATTTTCAAAGATTACAGGTGTTCAGCAAGGCAGGTTTTTACTCTATTTGATATAACTGCAAGTTTTTACTCTATTTGATATAACTGCAAGTTTGTATGCATTGAACATATTAGCATCGATGCTTACAAACAGTACCAAGACCCATAATACAGTATAATTGGCAATAGAAGTATATTATGCACCAACCACACAGAAATGCACCACTCAGAAATCTCCCCAGGTTTTTCTCGACTGGGTTCTTAATCCTAATTTTGCCTGTTTTGGCCAAAATATGCCAGCAGTTCATCCTTGAAAGAGTGCAAACAGATTTTCAAAAAGATGGCATGTAATTTTGAGTTTCAATTGGGTGCAACTCTAATACTATGAAGAACACTGTTATTATTTACAAATACCAAGAAAAGCATGGCGTAATATAAGATACAATGTGATCAGATCAAGCACCTACATGGACAAGGATCAGCTGAAGGATCTCGATTGAGACTACATGAATGATCTGGATCAGATTACGTAAATGATTTGAAGTGATCAACTTGAAAATCAAAAAAAAAACAATGATCTAAAGTGAGATAAAGATTTTTGATACCAGATCAAGGATGCAGAACCAGTAATGCAGACCAGTAATCTAGATCAATTAGATCCAATATATTATGATAATGACAATGAATCATGGATGACTGGATCAAGTGTCAACATAACAAAGCCCAATTTATCCAAACACAGACATTTATAACAGTCCGTTCAGAGAAATATCAAAGAGAATACACATGGACATATTCACAATAGCTGCCTCAGGTTTTTTCTAAACTAATTACAAGTTGTTCATCTTTATACCAGTATTCACGATAAGACAATAGTCTATTTTAAAGAGCCGTTATTTACGATAACTTTGAGCAAAATAAACTCCCAGAGGAAGCTTTTGATGAACAAGACCTAAGAATGATTAAATAGGCCTTTAAAGTAATTCTGAAGGCCATCCATAAGTAATGATGTAATATATCAATTTACAGTAATACTTTGTTTAATTGCTGATTATAAGTTCTTGAGACTAAATAATGATGATCTCCATTCAACAACCCGATTGAGATATATTCAGCCAAACAACTTTGACTTCCACAAATGCTACGACCAAAATGATGTCTCCAATGCTCATCAAGATGAAACAATCATGACTGGTGAGGACACATATACTATCCTCAAAGAAGCATCTTCAGCTGTAGTTAAAGCCCTCTATTGAAAATATTTCTTTTATGACTGTCCCCCGTTATTATCCTTCCTTATATGGGACTTTCTACCACTAGTGGCGCCCCCTGCTCAGCATCTCGATTCTTGTTTTCCTGCTTTTCGTATCTGTAACAAATATAAAATTTTGTAGTAAATTGTTCCCAGATGAAACAGAATAAAAAACTCACACATAAAATTTAGTATAACTTTCAATAACAGAAATCCCCATAATTATGCTGATTTGTACAGAACTTATCTAATACTGATATGAAGGCCAAATCTATAAATCTATTATACTGACATCAACTATATAAAGTACATGGCATAATGTAAAATTGTACCAGTGTACCTCTTGTTTCTGTCCTCAGGCACAGCGGGGCCCCAGTCAGGCATTGGAGTTATAAGCGATCTTAACAGTGGCCCTTGCTCACCACGAAATACTGCTACAAATGTCTGCAAAGTATAATTAAACATAATGCAAATTTGACTCGTTCAGTCCATTATGTCAGCCATTGTGTCTTAAGTGGAATTATTTGGTGAGAATGTATTCCATAAATACACCAATGGAATAATTTAGTCATTGGATAGGATCGTCCCAATATGTATTTAGGAAGGTTCAAATCAAGATTATAGCTCTAGACATTTTTTGATAATTTATAGAAATACCTACATTTATTCAAATTGTTTTCTTCCATATTCTAAATATTTTATGCAATTTATGTTATCTCAGAGTTTATTCTCAGTTAAAAACTCAATATGCAATTTGCACTTGTGGTGTCTACTGAACTTTCAAACTCTGTCTCATCACATGATTCATATCTGTATTTTTGGGTTAAATAGCTTGCAGATTTATTTTAAAATAACCAGAAACCAATAATGCAATCATAATAAGCATACCTCCCAGTTTCTTACTGCCCTTAGAAATATGACAGCCATCACAATGGGCACTATGGTACAGGGAATGAAGGCAAGACACCAGCCAATGTCATTGGCCCAACCAGGAAATGAATAGTCACCATAGTAAGGTGCTTTATAGTTAACAGCTATGAAGATAACTATCAGCTGAAATAAAGAAAATAACCTTAGATTTCATAGTGGTACTAATAGGTACATTTATTCCCTTGGTAAATATCATATTACCCTTCGGTCAATATCATATTGTCCCTCAAAATAAAACCCATATTCAATCCCTCCCAGTAAATAACCTATGTGTATTTAATACAAGGGCTGTTCAATAAACAATGCTCCTGTTATCCTAAAATTGTCAATTTAAAAAAAAATCCAAACTTTGCTGAATATAACTATTAATGGGCACTTTCATTATTTGTCTGTATCATCCATTAGATGTGTAAACATATCATATTAAACACAGGAAAAGATGTCATCACATGGTGAGTTACTGCAAATAGTTACAAAAGTGTAACAATCTGTAACAACACCAACAACTGAATGCCAGTCCTCAAAAAGGTAGTTTAACAATATGTTCCCTCTTTTGGGTGGCGACAATAAACCAAGCTGCCAATTTCAAAATTATCTACAAGTTGCCTTAAAAATTCTAATTTCATACAAGTGATTTAAAATTGTCAATTTGATAAATGACCCTAAAGACAGGGACCAATTTGCTGCATTAATAAATTTCATGACTCACCAGAAGTAAGATTGGAGTAGCAATCAACCAACAGAATAGATCATAATAGTTTGGGCCAAAACCTATCATAGTCTTTATGTCCTCTCCAAATTTCTTATACCCTGAAAGCAGAAAGGCATATGTCTTGTATCAAAGTAATAAGGCATTAACATACAAAATGTCACTACCTGTCATTTGTTACAAATGCCATGTAAAAGACGAGAACTGCCAAAAATCAAAAGCTGAACACCAACTGCAATCCCAAAAAAAGTTTGGAGACTATGACCACTTGGGGTGGTGATATAAAATCATATAATGACCATTACATGTGTATGAAAAGTTCAAACTATCAAATGATCCCTTTTTTACCTTCAATATCATGATTGGTTTGTTAATATTGCACTTATACATCAAAACTATTTTTGTAATTTCATTTCATTTTATGTAATGTAATGTACATTCTGAATAATCTTAAATATAAATATTTATTTTACTTACCATAGAAAAAGTTGAGCACCAAGATTTCAGTTAATGAGATGAAAGCAAGGGAGAACAGGGGAACATACCAATCCATCAATGTCACAATATATATGCCTCCCTGGAAAGTATCAATCACATATAGTACAACCTTTCTCAATGAACCCTTCTCAAGACACATTTTACATTGACTTCATACAAAACTCCCATTCTGTAATGAACACCTACCTACAGCGAACACTTTTTGGTGGCTCCATAAGTGTTCACTATATTCAGGTTTGACAGCAATTATTTTCAAAGTTCTACTTTGAGTTCATTGAATTATTTTTTATAATAATATTTGTGAACATTTTATTTCCAATTTTCAGATAAAGAAAATGAAGAATGTCGAAAAACATGTAAAAGGATATTTTGAGATTTCTTCGATAACTTTTAACAGCCCTTTGTTTATTTTACACCAAACAAGGAGCAGTTCTGCAAATGTTCTCAGTTCTTTAAAACTGTAGGTTTTCAACTTAGCTAGTATTTGAAAATGCAACTTTCAGCCGTTGGCTACTGAATTAACCAACAATTCTATGACCTACTCATTTACATATGAATGAAATAGTGGCAGGTGCTTTTCATATCTAAATGAGTTGCCCATAAGATAGTAGGTTAGTCCAGTAGCCGACAGCCAAAAGTTGCACTCTCAAGCACAAGCTAAAACTCAATTCAAGAGTAGCTTCAATAAGTTATACAACAAAGACACTATGTTTACACGATCCATTGCTTTGATATAAGCACATTTGTGTGACACATAATGATAATCAGAATTTTTTACCAAAGTGGTTGCAAAATTCTTATTTCACATTTTCAAGTGAATCTCAAGTAGATGCAGCGCCCTTTTGCTTTAATGCTGGAGAGATTACTGATAATATTGACAAGTTATCCACTACCTGGTTTATGTAGATTCTCCTACCTGAGTGACTAGGGGGATTCCCAGCAGCATAAGTATGACACAGAAAACTAATGTAACAATCTTTCTCTTTTCTTTCAGTTTAGGGAACTCATCCACCAAGGCACAGATGATGGTTTCTACCTGAGTGAACTGGAATGGCAACAACACATTTACTTTTATACGAAATCTAAGCAGGATTTGAGGTAATGACTTTACCTCCATTGAGCATTGATGGATAATCGATTAATTGAATATATGAACGTTGTACTGCAACTGGCAGTACTAATATTTTCACCAGCTGGCTGCACTCCTTAAACAAAGTTTTACTTTAATACAGAGAACTAAAATTTAATGTAGAAATAGAAATAATTTAATATATAAGTAAATTGAATATTACAACAGATGAAGGTACCTACCAAGCTATCAAGGCCGACAGTGAACATGGTAACAAAGAAACATATGGACCAGAAAGGTGCACCGGGCATCATGGCTAGGCCTTCAGGGTATGCAACAAAGGCAAGACCAGGCCCTACAATCAAAATAAATGCAATATTAACTTTTATCAAGTTAAAGTTAATGATTAATACACACCTCATTGGCTTGTGATATAAACCAAAACAAGCCAATAAGGTGTGTATTAATGATTTACTTTCCTGTTATCTCAAAATCTGCTTGGAACTATACCATTGGATTACTATGGGAAATTACTCAAAGAGAAAATTCTTGGGATTAAGGATGGGGTACCATTTAAGCAATTTGAGAAATTATTGGCATACATGAAACCTATTTAAAACAGCATTAATATTATTAAAAAATGATCGTAATAATGATTCCCAGATCTGAAGTTTGAAAAATAACAATACCTGGGTGTTAATCCATAGATAATCCTTGAAAATGAGAAATATTTTTTAGGATTCTATGGTGTAATCTTATAGTCCATGAAATGTTTTAAAGTGTATTGATGTTTTTTAGATGAAAAACACAAGCGAAATGCATGAAAAAGCTCCCAAGATTCATTCTACAAACAACATATGGTCCTTTATGAAACTGAGCCATAGTTTTGATGTGATAAATTGAGTAATGTTAATAATTCCAGAGTATGTTATCATCTGATGATTTTTACGGTTGCATATTATGGTTAACAATGTTTTGGTTATGTGCACCTGTTAAAAGAATCAGCGAATTTGCACTACATGTTTATGCAAGAAATGAATTATTTCTGTCAACATAATACAGAGACAAGAGATTTTGAAGAGAGACTTCTTACCAACATCAGCCACATCAGCAACATTGACTCCCTTTTTGTAAGCCATGAACCCAAGGACACTGAAGATGACGAACCCGGCGTAGAGACTTGTGACACTGTTTGCTATGGCAACTATAATAGCATCCCTGAAATGTCAATAATATTGAGGTTATTTAAATAATATTGAACAGGATTCTTCAAGTTCAATATTACTTGGAGATGTTACTTTATGGAATACCTATAAGATATTGATAGATTCCAATAAAGGCACATAAAGAAAGTTTAAAAGTGAATCCATTCAAATAGTTGTCAAACCAATGATATCCCAAACAGAATCGTAACATGTGGTTTCAATCAATCTACATTTCTCAGGTAATGTAAATGGTGTACTGAAGAAGTAAAATTAATATAAGCTCTCCATGCAAATAAGGCGTCCATAGTCACACTTCATACCTTCTACAATTGTTACTGTATTTGTTGTAACTTGACAGTGTGACCCAGCCACCTGTTCCAAGGGCCAGAGAGAGGAAGATCTGCACACATGCTTCGCCCCACACCTGTAATGTTGCAATTAAAAACTAGAAAACATTTTGATCCATTTGGGTATGAGAGAACGACAGGATTTACAGAATGTACTGAACAACAACATTTATGCCACGAACTTTAAAAATCAACTTTCATCAACTTCCTTTTTTACTATTGCTCTTCCAAAAATACATTTTTTCAATATTTAATGTTAATCACGTAATTAATTTAATGCTTCCAAATTAAAAACTCAGTGCGATATCACAGAATTCATGTGTCCTAAAGCCAAACACATGTCAAATCATTGCTTAAATGCTTTTGCGTGGAGCCAAGTTACGTCATCAATTACCTTAAATCAATCTTTCTTCAATTTGATTGAGTATGTGTATAATATATTACTATATTTTATTATTAGATAGATAAGGCTACACATTTTTAGAGATCTTGTATATGAACTTGTACTTTAATTATCCTGGAGTATACAGTCCCCATCTCTCTCAATTGGTTTTCAAGGGAGCTGATTACAATTATTTGACCTATAACCTTTATACTCAATTGGGCGAGTCAATACTATGAAGGATGAAGGGTAGAACTAATCCGTAAAGGACCATAATTCTACCTCTCTTGAAAACATATATTTCAACCTCCCTATGACTTACCTGTGGCTGACTGAGTTTACTCCACTCTGGCTTAAGGTAGTAGATGATTCCATCCATAGACCCTGGTAGAGTGACACCACGTACTAGCAGTATAGTAAGCACAACATAGGGGAACCCAGCAGTAAAATACACAGCCTGAAACATGGTAATTAAAAGAGAAATATAGAAAATATAATACAAATATTTTCAGTTAGCCAAATATAATCAAATAATTTGTTCAAAATCTCTAAAATATTAAAATAATTTATTTTTACTCTTTTTCAGAAAAGAATGTATGACACCATCCAGATACTTACAATGGGTTAAAAAAAATCTGCAGTTTCAAAAATCAATAAAACTGGTCTCATCTTTAAAGTGTTTTACAAAGATACATGTATGTATTTTCTCTTACTTTGCCCATAGATTTGACTCCCTTCCAGAGGCAGAAGAATATGACTACCCATGACACAATGAGGCACACCACTAGAGGCCATTGGACTACACCTACTTCAGATATACCACCTGTCACCTGAAGAAGGTGACGCCTGTAATAATAGTAATAATAGTAATAACAATAACAAGGCATTAACATGACAAAATGTCAACACCTGCAAATGGTTACAGAAGTGTAACTATTGTTACATATGTATTGTAGGTCAAGCAAAGGTCAAATCTCAAGTCTAGTCAGATTTGAACTTCTGAGAACTTTTAGATGAATTTGAAAAAGAAATTTGCTCAATATGAAAAAATACCTTCCTTGACCTTTTGGTGGTGACATAAACACATAATCATCACATAATCAAAAAGAATAGTCACAGTGTCCTAAACATTTTTTTGCACTTGATCATTTCAAAATTAATGAAAACAGAGCAATAAGGTTTTAACATGTTATATTCTGAACTTGAAAAATCTGAGGAATGAATCTTTCTAGCCATCAAGTTCCACTTCATATTCAAAAATCTCAATAAAACAAAATACATCCAGATATTAATCAAGACCAGGAATAATAACTTACTCAAAAAATTCTTCAGTTGGTGTCTTTAACTTTGGTTTGCCTGTGGCATTAGGTGACATTGTTGTCAACATCTCTGAAGCATTATACCCAACCGCTTTGGTAGCATTCACAAGTACACTCGTCACACTCCCGTTATATTGTGCTTCTGCAATAACAGGAAAGTACCATCATTATAGTAGTCAAGGTACAGATTAATTGTAGAAAAATGCAGTATCAGGTTCTGTAAGACCAGTACAATCAGTTAATTGCTCACATTGCTCATAAATCAGACCATTTTCCATGACTATGTATACCGTACCAAAGGTGTCAGAGTTGCATAAATACTAACCATTTTCCATGACTATGTATACCATACCAAAGGTGTCAGAAATGCATAAATACTAACACAGAAGAACTAACCTCCAGGTTTTGTTGTTATACAGAACTCCGTATTCCATTTGTTATCACATCTGGACCATGGTATATTGTCAGTAATGCTAGCAAACAGGTAGAACAAGGCATACGCTATCAGCACATTGTAGTACATGGAGATCATCACTAGGACGAGAATGACAGTGTACCCTACACCTACAAATCAAAATACAGCAATATTGATTTAACATTTACTTTTATTTTCTTTTATGTTTTAATCACAACTCATTGATGCATTTCCAAGGTCATATCATTTCCAGAACGTCATGGAAACAGGACATACAGAATTTGAGGAAGCTATTCTCGTATTCTGTATGGTGCATGCTATTGGTCTGGATGATCCTGTTACAAGTTCCATGATCAGATCAGAGGTCATTTAATTAATAAATATATTAAGATGAAAAATAATAGCAAGTTCCACAGATTATACTTGATAGAATATGCCATTTCAAACATAACTACATGAACAAATATGTAATAAGAATGTGTAAGAACAAGGCACAAAGTGATAAATATCACACTTTGTATATCAAAATGGTCACCATGTAATATACTCAGCAGCATGCCCAAAACAAATCAGTTGTTAGCACTTGTCTGCTCTTCCATGTGTAAAAATTTCAAGTTGAGTGGATAAGCAGTTTCCTTGAATTTGATTGATTGATTGATTGATTATCAGACTTTCTTTAAAGTATTTACAGAATCAGAACTCTTTAACAGTCAAGTTTGTTCCGAAGATGTGAAATAAAAAAATTCAAAATAGCCACCTTGTAATTTACCCAGCATGCCCTAAACCTAATCAGATTTTGTCAAAAGTCTGTTCTTGCATCTCAAGGTGAACAGATGAGAAATTTTCCTGGAATTTTGATGACAAGATCTGATTTATGTGGCACCCATAAAATGTTACCTGTGAAGAGAGGGCATATCTTCTTCCAGACAGTGATCATACCCAGCGAGGCATACTGTCCCAGGGCCATTTCCAGGAACAGCACAGGGATGCCAAACACAACCAAGGCCAACAGGTAAGGGATCAAGAAAGCACCTGCAGACACAAAGCAGTTAGAAAAATATAATTGTATGCATATTTAATAGATGATTATGCTAACATTTTCAGAAGGATTGAACTCTTTTTTCTGAAAAAAAGATGTGAAAATCAGTAGTGCTTTAAATCTCCTTGTTATAAAGCCAATGTGACCCTTTTCCATTCTGTGTTAACTTACAAAGTGATTCTAATGAAACAAATTACATCAAATAACATTCATATCAATAAACTATATGCTCTCAGTCCAAAACTAGATAACGGCAACTCCGCGGAGTAGCAAATCCCAACGAACAAAATATCAATTACCGAATTCCAATCAATTATACTCATTACTTTGGTTGAAAATGAAAAAATTAGATTTTAGAATTGCGAATTCCTGCAAAGCAGCCATTTGAATTTTCTGAGGTACAAATCTGAAAAATAATACCATAATTGTGATCTACTCCAAAATTCCTTCAATTTGAGTATAATATAGCCATACTTTGAAGGGATCGAAAAATTATTGCGAAATTGTACATTAGACGGCCATTTTGACTTTTACGAGGCTCGAATCAGAAAAAAGATACAATATTTGCAATCTACTCTTAATTGCCTTTCATTTGAGTATAATAAAGCTATACTTCAGAAAGATCTAAAAATTAGCGAAAATTTCTGTTTTCCTGTCCCCCCATACATGGCTCCTGGGGGTCAGGATGAAAAACACAGAATATATGTGAAATAGATAAATGTTGTGAATACACTACCAAAATTTCAAACAATAATATTAATTACTTTGGTTTAGAATGAAAAATTTATGATTTTTGCGAAAAGTCCCGTCATTTTTAAAGCGGCGGCCATCTTGAAAAAATTTTTTTTTGCGTAAAACTATTCACCAATATACATCTTTCCACTAAATATGAAGAAAATCTGTCAACTAGTATTTGAGTTATCTTCCGGACAGACGGACGGACTGACTGACTGACTGACTGACGGACTGACGGACAGACGGACGGACGGAGGGCTTCACTATATCCCTAACGAACTTCGTTCGTTGGGATAATGATGCCCTGTAATATATTCAACATACCTCCTCCGTTTCTGTAGCAGAAGTATGGAAACCTCCAAATATTCCCCATTCCTACAGCATACCCTAAGCATGCAAAGAAATACTCCATCTTATGACCCCAATGGTCCCTCTCCTCACGGTTTTTAGGTTTCTGAGGAGCCAGTTTACTAGGCTTGCTCATGTGACGCCTACGCTGCTGAAAGTAGGCCTCATCTTGCTGAAAATTCAGAGGAAACATTTTGAGGAAAGACCTTTACATTTACCAGGTTCATGAAGGATCAATGCGTTTTGCTATTTCCCACAAATGGGCTGCAAAACTGATATAGCATTGATTAAAAGTGTCCAAAAACAGGAATGAACAAACAAAAACTTGGATGTAAAGATAATTTTGTTGCTATTCTTCCTTGTATGCAGTTGAATTCTAAGAATCATGATAGATGCTTGCTGATTTCATTAAAAATTTGTATGAATCTATCATGAAATACTGAATGTCTAGAATAATTTTTAGACACATATCTTTTCTTGACCCTCTATTGTAAACAAAATTACATTCGCCAAAAATTGATATTTTGACCAAGCTTGAGTGGGCAATTTCTATGACTCACATTCCCATAGGTTGCGGAAGTATTGCGATTCTGTGTCAGACTCAAGAAGAACCAATAGGAAGGAAACATTAAAAAATGTCATGCTACAGTCACCTGCATATGCTACACATAAAAATATGAAGTCTTAAGTAAAAATCTGGTCATGTGATCAAGATTATAAATGATCTTACCTCTCTCTTTTTAGCATCTTTGATTTCCTTGGGTGTCATAGGAGGTTTCTCCCCATGGTCATTGAAGTCTTTAACAGGGGGCAGTGGACCTGGTTTTGGTTTCTTCAATGCAGATTTTGGTAGTTGGACCTGCCCCTAAAACACAAAATCAATACATTTAAATTTTAGATATATGTTGCTGGGACAAAATCCAAATTTGCTTATGATTGCGTGCATCTAATAAACATTAATACTAATAAATGTATGAGAACTAAAGCTGAATAATGTCCCAATTTTGGAAAAAATACATCAACACAGTTTTGGTTAATTCAACATGAAATGTCAGGTATATATTGCAGAAAAAGTGAACTTCATAGTTTATTGGGTAACAAGACACACAGTGATAAATATCGCACTTTGAAGAGCAAACTGGCCACCATGCAATTTACCCAGCATGGCCAAAACCTAATCAGACCTTGGCACTAGTCTGCTCTTGCATCTGTAAACATTTCAAGTTGACAAGGTAAGCGGTTTTCCTGCAATTTTGATGACAAGAATTTATTTGCAGTCTTGAACTTTGGGAAAATTTAGATAACATTGTTTGTGACCTAATTTGATGACCTTCGACCTTGAAAATTTCACTTTTTCAGACCTCAGTAGGTGTTTTGTAATTAAGCTGACCTAAATTTAAATCCAAAATATCAATTTAGAAAATCAAATTTTTGACCTTTTCAAGGTCACTGAAGGTCAACGAAAGGTCAAATCTGAAATCTAAGGTCAGATTTGAACTTCTGAGAACTTGTAGATGTTTTTAAAAAAAAAATTTGGTCAATTTGGAGCAAGTTGAAAAATTCAAAATGGCCGCCAAATTGAAAAATTCAAAATGGACACCATGTAATTCAGCCAGCATGCCCAAAACCTAATCAGATCTTGGCAATAGTCTGCTCTTGCATCTGTAAAAATTTCAAGTTGAACGGATAAGTGGCTTTCCTGGAATTTTGATGACAAGATTTGTTGAAAAATTCAAAATTGCCGCCACGTAGTTTACCCAGCATGCCCTAAACCTAATCAGATCTTGGCACTAGTCTGCTATTGCATGTTTAAAAACTTCAAGTTGAACAGGTTAGCGGTTTTCTTGGAATTTTGATGACAAGAATTGATTTGTAGTCTCAAACTTTGAGAAACTTGGATAACATCATTTGTGACCTAGTTTAATGACCTTGACCTTCGACCTTGAAAATTTCACTTTTTCAGTCCTCAGTAGGTGTTTTGTAATTAAGCTGACCTAAATTTAAATCCAAAATATCAATTTAGAAAATCAACTTTTTTGACCTTTTCAAGGTCACTGAAGGTGAATGAAAGGTCAAATCTAAAATCTAAGGTCAGATTCGAACTTCTGAGAACTTGTAGATGTTTTTTAAAAAAAAATTTGGTCAATTTGGAGCAAGTTGAAAAATTCAAAATGGCCGCAAAAATTGAAAAATTCAAAATGGCCACCATGTAATTCAGCCAGCATACCCAAAACCTAATCAGATCTTGGCAATAGTCTGCTCTTGCATCTGTAAAAATTTCAAGTTGAACGGATAAGTGGTTTTCCTGGAATTTTGATGACAAGATTTTTTGAAAAATTCAAAATGGCCGCCACGTAGTTTACCCAGCATGCCCTTAACCTAATCAGATCTTGGTACTAGTCTGCTCTTGCATCTGTAAAAATTTCAAGTTGAACAGGTAAGCAGTTATCCTGGAAATTTGATGACAAGATTTGGTTTATGTCCCGCCCGCCCGCACGCCCGCCCGCACGACCGCACGCCCGCCCGCCCGCCCGCCCAACAGCACAAGACGACAACAATATAGCACTTTTTCAAAGTGCGATAAAAACTGCTCGAGTTAAAGCATAGTTTCTACATACTGTAGATACATTACAATAATAGTAATAGTCCAGATAGTTCTGAAGTCAAATGAGGACAACTCTTGGCTTGAGCTTAGCATTAGTATTGTTCTTTATACACCATTAGTATGACTTTACCATAAGTAGATGAGTTCAAGATGTCATCCCTAGAACAATATTTATTATGATCTTATGATGGACTCCCCCCACCCTCCCAATAGTATTCTGACAATTCACATGCTTTCCATTTAAAAAAACACAATATAACATCATTCACAGTCTTGAATATGAATCTAGGCTACAAATAATTAACATGTACTCATTTTCCAGACTCCCCATTCATTCACAGTTAGAGCAATCTTTTACCTTATGGCAAACAGTTTTAACAAGTGCAATTCCTGCTACACAATTACCTCATAACATAAAATATAAACATTTTGATTGATAAGAAAACCTAAATGTTCTGTCTGAGTATCCAAAAGCCAGACAAATAAAATTGGTTGCTTAAAGAGTTCAAGCAGCACAAAAATTATGTACTAGGTCCTAGAAAATAGATCTGATTTTTTTCAATCATGAATGTTATTGTTATCAAAACAGTTACTTTTAAAACTTCATATATCTTCCATACTACAATGCCTTGGGAAATAAAACATATGTGTACCTGTATATCTCACTTGTATAATTATATCAAGGCAGTACTTGGTTATTTCTTTTAGATACAATGATTTTCTTTTAGATAAAATGATGAAAGTTGACAATTACAAGCTAAATGACAACATCTACAACAAACTTTGAATTTATTGTTGTATGTAGAAATGCCTGCCAAAGCCTGGTCATATAAGCGCCAATAATCCATAGTTTCAACCCTTTTCCTGTATACACTTTCAGTACATGCAGTATTTTAATGAATTAAACTGCTCTGAACCCTAGAGGTCGCAACGGTACTGAAAACCAGTACCGGTAACCGTCACGCTAATAACCGTACCGTTACCGAAATACCGGTAAAAATATGTAAGATAAAATGCCAATGCGCTGCCACCCCCACTTTGTTCCTAACTCTCTCCGTAGCTTCTCAAGTCTATATGCATACATGGTGCAAGACCGATTTGAATCCATACTGATGAACTTCACGAAATAATATGTAACTACGTATCTTACGAATCAAGATGTATTTTTAGTTTTAAATTAAATGTATTACACATTTCAAACCATTTCTCAACTGTATGAATAGCAAGCGACGTGCAGTATACATGGGGGTGGGGTAGGTTAAATAGATTTTATTGACTGTCTTGAGTTTGGAAAGTAAACGGAGGAAAATATCCTTATGTGGCGAGTTTGGCTGAAACATATCATGCTATTCCTGCGTCATCCGTGTTAAGTGAACGCCAGTTCAGTGCAGCTGGCAACACCATCACTTCCAAACGGGCACAACTTCAACCTGAGGTTGTCAATGCCTTCTTGTTTGTAAATAACTATTACAAACATAATTCCGTTTCTGGATCTGATGTTGACACTACAACTACACAGGAACTGCCAAACATAACTACAACCAAATCTGAGCCTGAGCATGAAGCTACTACACCCGAACTGCCAAACATTTACATCACACCTGAACTGCCAAACATGGAAATCACATCCGAACTGCCAAACATGGACATCACACCTGAACTGCCAAACATGGACATCTAAATGTCTATGTAAATGTACGCATCGTGAAAGTGAAAATTAAACGAAATAATTAAAAACGACGTGTTTTTTATTTCCCCGGGATTATCGTCGGTTAACCGGTTAATAATTTCAATACCGGTAAATGCTCAATTCCGTACCGAAACCGTATAACCGGAATTACCGTCAGCCTCTACTGAACCCTGACCCCCCCTTATCTACTTTACAACAGCTTAAGTACTTAAGTAGATAAGAGGGGGCAGGGTCTTGAAGCAAGACTAATGAAACCCCTATATAACCTTTACAGGCTCGATGCAAGACTTACTTTTCCACAAACCAAAGGGGCATGAATTTAATAGAAATGAGTTTCTAATGTTGCCCTGTATGTTTTCAAAGTATACAATTGGCTATTTTATGGTGTACTTAGCCCATATTACACTTTACTATCTCGTGTAAATAACATAAGAAGGTCAAGCCTATTCCTGTTTCCTATATATAGTTGTTTCTCATTGTATCAAAAGTTGTTTGGTTTCTGAGGTAGTTATTCTAAGTTGAGAAATAATGTAATACAGAAACATACCATGATGAAAATCTGTATGTTTGCATATAGGAGTTTGATTTCAGTTACAAATATTGTTTATTAAGACAGGTAATAGTATCGGTAGTACTGTGTATGAAATACATTCTATAGTACTGGACATATATATACATGATTCTGTAATACTATACTAAATTCTGTAGTACTGTACATGTACTAAATTCCGCAGTCCTTGACATTACTGTACATATTCTAAATTCTGTAATACTGTACACTTGATTCTGTAATACTGTACATACCGTATACTCAATTCTGTAATACTGTACATGTCACGCTATACTCAATTCTGTAATACTGTACATACCGCATACTCAATTCTGTAATAATGTAAATACTGTATACTCAATTCTGTAATAATGTACATATACTAAATTCTGTAGTACTGTATGTGTACTACATGCCGCAGTCCTGGACATATACAAGATTCAGTAATATTGTACATATACTGAATTCTGTAATATTGTACATATACTAAATTATGTAATACTGTACATATACTAAATTCTGTAGTACTGTACATGTACTAAATTCTGTAGTACTGTACATGTACTACATTCTGCAGTACTGGACATATACTTGATTCTGTAATACTGTACTACATATACTAAGTTCTGTAGTACTATACATGTACTACATTCTGCAGTAGTGGACATATTCTAGATTCTGTAATGCTGTAGTACTACTGTACATTGTGCAGTCTGTACGTAGCACTGTAGTATTTACTACATTCTGCATTTTAGAAAATAAGCATGAAATGTAATTATTGTCAACTCTACCCTCTCCATTCATTTGCATGCAAGGTGGGTCAACTCTATCGTTTGCTAATTTCCTTCAAAATACCCCTTTTCACTCGGCATAGCTTAGTAACAGTCAACTATACATGTAAAAAGTACATTTAGATCTGCAGCTGTTGTTTTGACATTGTCAATAAAGTGTTGGTAAAATAAAATAAAATGTTACAGGCTTCTTAGTTCAAGTCACAATGATATTAAGTATGGTAAACTC